CTTCTTATTTGCAACATAGTATATAGTTGCTCAGAGTTGCAGATGAGAGGCCGGCAAGTGAGGCGGTGAACGTTGGAGTCTGCAGCAAGCAAGCCTCCCTGCTCGCTTCAGTGCCTGGCTGCCGGCCGCCATCTTGGCTGACAGTTAATTTGCATATACTCACTGATTAGCCAATGAAAAGGGTAGCGGTCGTACGCCAATTACCATGTTTCTCTTTTATTAGTGTAGATATATATATAAAACGTCTTGCCCTAGCCGGTTTGACTCAGTGGACAGAGCATCATCAGCCTGCAGACTCAAGGGTCCCGGGTTCAATTCCTGTCAAGGGCACATGCTTGGGTTGTTGGCTCCATCCCCGATAGTGGGGCATGCAGGAGGCAGCCAATCAATGATTCTCTCTCATCATTGATGTTTCTATCTCTCCCTCTCCCTTCCTCTCTGAAATCAATAAAAGCATATATTTAAAAAAAAATTTCTAACTAAAAGCAGTTCAGCGAGTATTTTTCCCTAACAAAAGTCTATCTTCACCTAAATTGAGCCAATTATCTTTGCTAACCTGCCTTAGGAATATCAAGTAATTTCCTTTTTACAGACCCCTCAACTACAAGGCACAGATCCCCTCATTGTATTGTTATCATGTTAATTGTCGTTAACTATCCTGCACCCACCGATGTCAAAGTGGTATCTATCATTTCACTGTTTTGTTTTTTTCTCATTTCACTTTTTATCCAATCCCAGAGGTTTCCCATTTGCTTTCTCCCATCTCCCAAATCTATCACTAATAGATTTCATGTAACCTGGGTACGCCTCCTCTTCTGATTGTAATGTATAAAATAAGATGCAAAACTGCCATTTTTCTGGAGCTTTTTCTCAATTCTTTGAGGTTTTAATACCTGGCAATTGTCAGTTTGGCTCAAACTCATAAAAATTCTCTACAGGTTTGAAAGTTTCTTACATTGACTTTAGGGTTCCACATGTGAATTTTGGGTGGGAAAACATTCAGACCTTAGCAGGCTCTTTGCAGTGGTGATATGTTAAACTGACAAGGACTAATACAGGGAATTAGGAGCTTACCACACCACTGGATGGGCTGAAAACAATGCGCCAGAGATCCAGGAATGGGGACGCAGACGGGGTGGGGGTGGGGTGGGGGGTGAGTTGCGGGCAAGGGACCCAACACAGTGTGACTGCTGCTGCAAACTGCCAGCCGGGACCCAGAAAACAGAGCCATAGGGACAGGGTAGAGCTAAGGAAGTGGCCCTGCCACTGGGTACTTTAAATTCAGGCTGTAATTTACACATCACATACACCTTGTTGACGTAAGAAATGCTCAGACCTGTAGAAAATTTTCATGAGCTGGAGCCAAATTGTTGCGAGGCCAGGAGCAAGGTCTCCAATGCAGTTTCTTTTCATTTAGAATTAAGACAGACGGAGAAAGCAAGGCGGGGTGGACCACAGGGTAGTTAACTAGAAAGATTACGTGCCCTCTGGAGGGTGGTTATGCCTTGAGGGGCCTGAAAAGCAGGTTCACTCTGGCCTTGCAAAGCTGTGTTAACCTAGAGGCACAGACACAATGGGCGGGGCTGGTATTAAAAAAATTCTGTGCCTGGGGCTTGCTTACCCACCGAGACCTGCCCAGCTAGGGATTTGTAATCAGGCCACCCTGTGAGGTTACTTCGTCACTGGACTCAGATTTATTACAGAGCTCCTTTTTCATCCATAACCTGCAACACCAAAGCCTACAGTAGGAAACAGGCCTCTGTGATCCATCTTCATCATAGTCAACTTTTAATGGAACCGGTTACTGAATCTCCCCTGGGCAAACAGAGTGTAGGGAGGAGGGAAGAGGATATAAGAACAAAGAACTGTGTATGTGAGCCAGCATCATGGTGGAAACCCCCGGCATGCCCAGGATGAAACACCTGGTGCCGCCTCAACTAGACAGGGGGGAGGTGGAGACAACTAGAAAAGGCCTCAGCCCATTTTTTAAAAAATAACCCAATAAGAGACAATAAGAGCCAGGCAACATATGAGGAAACTATTAACCCCATAGCACTCAGCCAATGAGGAGCCGGAGGAGGGACTCTCGTACCCTAGGGGATAAATAGCCTGTGATCACTACTCTATGTGTGCCTGTACAATCGGACAGACACCCACTCTTGTGAGGACGTATTAAAAGTCTCGTTTCTTGCCATACTTCTTTCTCTGAGCCCATTATTTGAATTCGGACAGGTGAGCATTTCTCACACTGCTTTACCTCAGCCTTCCAAAATTGGGCATCAGATTGAAGCAACCCAATTGTCGCCCAGAAGCCCAGGTACCAGGGAGTCTGAAAATGTTTGCACCTTGCTGTTCTCAGCAGAGTGGGAAAGGCGCCAGCCCCGCTCTCCCCCCCCGCCCCCCCCCAGGCCCGAGGCTGGGGGATCACTTTATAGAGACCTGATTCCAGGGCGGGGGAGCAGCTCTGCGCACGCAGCGGAGGCTCTGGGAGTCCTTCCCGCCTGTACTTCCAGGGTGGTGGGGCTTTCCTGTAGATCGCTGTTCCAAGGGGAGAAAAATCAATACAAGTCCACGGACTGAAAAAATAACTTGGGCTGGAATTTTTCTAGGGGAAAAAAAAGCTCCACACCATAACTAATCGGCTGGTTCTATGAACAACACAGAAAGCCACGGCCGATCAACGGGACGAGTGTGAACATATACACTGACTGCGTTAAGGAGGCAGGCTCCGAGTGGCCCAGGGCAGGGAAGAAGGGTGTGGGGGGTGGGAAAGGAAAAATGATCGGACAGGAAAGCTGGGGAAGTTGGAGGCAAGACACATAAGGGAGGAAGAGGTGAGAGCTGGGTGCAGGGGAAGCGGGGTGTGGAGGAAGGGGGACAGGACGCCGCAGCTGCAGTCAGACAGTGGGTCTCATGTGAGAGAGGTGATTCTGGCCAACCTCCCGTACCTGAGCGCTCCGTGCACTGCACTGTGAATACAAGACACCATGCTCCCAGAAGCATCTCCAACTCCAGCGCCCAGTCGTGATGGCAACAATCCACTCCCTAGTGACCCAGATGTGGGCTGCCAGCCTCCTCCTAGCTTCAGAGTTCAACCGTAAGTTTGTCTTTAATTCTCTTTTTTTTAAAAATGTATTTTTATTGATTTAAGAGAGGAAGGGAGAGGGAGAGAGAAACATCAATCATGAGAGAGAATCATTGATTGGCTGCCCCCTACTGGGGATTGAGCCCGCAATTGGGGCACGTGCCTTTGACCGGAATCAAACCCGGGATCCTTGAGTCCACAGGCCGACGCTCTATCCACTGAGCCAAACCGGCTAGGGCCTTATTTTTACTTTTAAAAACATTTTTATTGATTTGAGAGAAACATGAATTTGTTGTTTCACTTATTTATGAATTAATTGGTAGCTTCCTGTATGTGCCCTGACGGGAGATCAAACCCACAGCCTTGGGGCATCAGTATGATGCTCTGACTGAGCTACCCGGCCAGGGCCTACTACCTTTTGTCTGATTATAAAATAGATGTTTACTTGTACGCCCATCACCTGCTACCCACTGGATTAATACATCCATCAATGAGGCATTGATTTCGACAGGAGATGGTCATTTTATATGCACTCTCTTTGTTGTGGTAGCTGTGCTAACAGGATTTTACATGTAATGCGTTTGCTTTGAGAGGGCTGGTTGAACGATTATGTCAGCTTCATCTGAGCTGGTCAAAATAAGATGATCTTTCCAGAGCTCAGGGTGCTGAAAGGCTTTCTTTTGAATATGCTTCTGAGAGAGAATGAGACATGCACATCACTTCATGCAGTCGGGGGCAAGCAATATTCTTTCTTCACATTATGAACTAATTCCAAGATGGATGCTTTTTCACTGTTTGAAGTGAATTTTCTAGAATTGTGTCTAATTTCCAGACAAATGATGATTTGCTTGCAAATTCCCATCACTCAAAATCTTAAGGACAAGTGAGCTGATGGGCAGACTCACAACTATTCAGCCCGGTGAAGAAGCCTTCCCCTGCCTGCCACCCCCTCAGAGTAAGCCACCATTTATTTAAGTCTCCGCATGTCCCAGCCCTGAGCTCAGAAGCATAAAGAACTGCAAAAACGTAGAAGAAACACCCCTACCTTCCAGGAGCTTCCAACCCAGGAACCATCTACGAGTCCAGCTGACTGAGTCGTGAGGACTCCCACACGCTGTGGGGGAACAGGAGCCCAGGGAAGGGGTTCTTTCCAACTGGAAGATCTGAGCGAGTGGAGGCTGGTGGATGTGAGGAAGTTCCTTCATGAAGGGAGTGTGAGCCAAGGCAGGAAGGCCAAGGGGCAAGAACAAGGAAACTTCTGTGAGGCCAGATGTCAGGATGGAGCAGGAGGGAGAGAGGAATAGCAGTAACAGATAAAGACATTTATTTAGCACCTACTACATGTCAGGGGCTTTGTATATACTATTTCACTCAAACTTTACAGCAATCTTAAACAGTAATTAATAGTCCTAATGTACAGATAAGAAAACTGGCCCAGACAGGTTAAGAAACCCACATAAGATCCCTTAGCTAATCACTGATGGAACAAATATTCGAATCCAGGCCTGTCTGCTTCCAGAACTCCTTTTTCTACTCCGCCACGTTTCCTTAATGCAGCTAAGGGTCCTGGACCTGACGCTCCAAGCAGTAGGGCAGAGGACACAGGTAGTAGCATCACCAGCTATTTCTGCTGATTGGTCCCAACCATATCTTACCTGGGCTGGCCCTGCTTCCCTGCCCTCAAAGGTGTGGTTTTGTGGGAAACCAGACACATTATAGCCACTTTCGTAATAACGTAAGAAGAACTGCAGTTGGGGCAGAGCGCTGTGGAAACACCTGTCCAGGGAAAGCTTCCTAGAGGCGTCTCGGCTGTTTGGAAAGAGGAGTAAAGTTGAGGAGGTGGGAAAGGACATTTCAGGCAGAGGAAAATGAAGTCCAGAGGTAGCAGGACAGAAAAGGCCAGGAGGTTTTGGAATGCCTTGCCGAGGAGCTGGTAGACCCTGAGGCCCCCAGAAACCCCTGCAATGATCCGGGAGGGTGTGTTGCATCTGCATGCTAGAAAAGTTCAGGAGTGCCTGGGGGAGGAAGATTGCAGGGGGTAGAGCAGCTGGTTAGCAAAGGTTTAGGTGAGAGCCAGGGCCTGCATGGGACAGGAGCAGCAGGAATGGAGCAAAGTCCGCTTGAGAAATATTTAGGGGGTAAACACATCAGGATTTGGTGGCTACCGGTGAGGATTAGGGAGCGAGAGGAGTCAACTGGTGAGAGACACCTGCGGAAAGGAGGAAGGGTGGAGGGAAGGTCGGTGGACCCAGTGAGAGTGAGCCTGTGGGACAGGAGCAGGGAGACCTGGAACAGTGGGGCATGGACTTAGAGCTCCGGGGAGAATCCAGATAGAGACAGAAACTCAGCACGGTCAGCACACAGGTGCTTGTTAAGCCACAAGAGTGGATCAGATGACCCAGGAGGACAGGCAGAACCAGCAGAGTAGCGAGAGAAGCAAAAGTCAGAGACGGGAAGTGAACAGGAAGTGAAGAAAAAGGAGAGTGGTGGAAGTCCCAGGGACAGAGAGGCAGACCATGTCAAGTGTTAAGACAGGAAGAGTCAAGATCAGGAGTCTTCACCTGTTTGGGCACAAGACCAGGTAGATGACAGAATGTTGGGCACGCTGCTGCAGACACGATCCCGAGATGAACAGATAAAGTAGAGACCATTACAACAAACCTGGTCTCAGAATGGAAGGCGATAAGGCAATGGCCGGAGGGAGGCAGGGTCATGAGAGTCTTGTTTAAGGAGCAGGACTTAACGCAAAGGAAGAGAGCCAGGGAAAATGGCAGGCGCATGGGAGAAGACGAGCGAGCGTGCAGGGACGTGAGGGGCGAGAGGTGGGCGAGAGCACAGGTGGAGGACGCAGGCTCAGCATGGAGCAGCACTGCCAGTGGAGGGAGCTTGTCTGATAATGTGTAGGGAAACAGCACAAAGGGAGGAAATAAACTCTGAGCCCTCCAATGTCCATGAAGCAGGAGGCCAGGGCATTGGGCTACTGCAGGGGGATGAGAAATGGACAGAAGCAGATTTCTTAAGGATTTTGAGGAAAGTCATTTAGAGAATTTGCTGAGCAAAATGGTGCAGAGAGCTTGACTTAGGACAAGCAGGAAGGGTTGTCAAGTGACATACACTCAGTTGATGCTGGAGACCATGAATAAGGCAAGACAAAATCTATGTACACCGGTGGGGTTTCCAGGAGATCGCAGGGTTTCAGAAGTATAGACAGAAGTGGGTTGTTTGGTGACATTTCATCAGACACAAGTAGTACTGGCGGCCGAGGGTGCTGGGAAAGAGAGGGATTGAAAGGGGTGAGGCTGAAGTATAGCAGTAACGGGACAGAAGGTGTGAGCATCAGAGAGGATGGGATATTGGGAGTTAAGATTCCAGATGTGGTGTTGTTCGTAAGCATGACAAGGACATGGCAGCTGAAGAGATGGAAATGAGAGTAACAAGTTAGAAGGCCAACATATAAGGAGGCTGTGCTGGCTCAAGTCAACCAAGGGTCAGGTATGGCTTAAGTTCAGGAGGAAAATTGCAGATTAAGTGCCAAGTCTTCAATGAACACGGGAGAAGTTGAGATGGTAGAGAGGGTGGCATCTGCGATGGCGTTAGCCTTGAATCATGGCAGAGTAAGCACTGCCTTTGCATGACTTCGTCAGAAAGTCACCAGGAACTTGGGGTGGTGAACACACAATATAGTGTACAGATGATGTGTTACGGAATTGTGCCCTTGAAGCCTGTATAATTTTGTTAACCAGTATGACCCTAATAATTTCAGTGAAAAGGAAAAAAAAGAGGAAAGATTCAGGCAATCTAAGAGTGCATTCTTACAATGACAATGCCACCTAAGCAAAATAGTACATGGTCACTCCAATCCATCCTCAGGCAGAGATAGGATGGCATAGTTTACAACATAATGAAGTCCTTCCTCCCCACCCCATCCTTTCAACCCAAGTTTAAAACTACATGACCTAAGGGAGGGAAGAACTGTGCCAGGAAGAGTGCCATGGCGGTTTGGTGACAATTCTGAATTGGGCTGTGGTTTGCTGAAGCGTGGAGAGAAGAGGCTGATGGTGTTCCTCTTGTCGGTCTTGCACCTCTAGGCTGCTGTTTTGTCAGCAGCTGCTGACCCACCATGATAATGTCTTTGCCAAGTCTTCTTGGGTTTACCCTCCCCATCCAAAGCACCCGTGTCACAGGGGGAAAGTGACCAGGAACACAGCAGCACCTGGATCACAGATATAGACACACTCCCTAAAGGAGCTCCAACGTTGAGAAATTGCGTTCTGATGGACACAAAACAGAAAAGCAAGTTGTTTATTCTACTTTTTAAAAAAATATATATTTTATTGATTTTTTTTTTTTTACAGAGAGGAAGGGAGAAGGAGAGGGAGAGAGTTAGAAACATCGATGAGAGAGAAACATCTATCAGCTGCCTCTTGCACGCCCCCTACTGGGGATGTGCCCGCAACCCAGGTACATGCCCTTGACCGGAATCGAACCTGGGACCCTTCAGTCCGCAGGCCGACGCTCTATCCACTGAGCCAAACCGGTCAGGGCTCTACTTTTAATAGAAAGTAATCCACCTAGTTCCGAGAGATTAAAAACCTATTGCTGATGACAAAGTCTGGTCGGCAAATGAGTTCTCATTTGCTCTAAGACACCATGTGAGTACTGGGCCCTGTCTGTAAGCTTTAGCCCCAAAGCTGGCAGTGGATGCAAAGCATAAGCACAGAAGTGGAGATGTGTGCGGGCAGGGCTGGTTCACCTAGCAATGAAAAGGAACCGTGAGAAGAAACCCGAACCAGTCCTGGGGAGCATAAACTTTTCCTGCCCAAGTTGGGCACTCCACTTCCCATCTCCGCTTACTCCTCTAACCCGAGCACTGGCAGTGCTCGGCCCATGGGATCGCTGAGAAAATGCAGAGTTTAGAGGTTCCAGGACTTCGCTGATGTTACCTGGATGATAAATGGCATGACCAGGACCCGAAGTCAAGTTCTGAGGACTCAAGTCTGTCCTTCCCACTGATCAGTTCCACAGCTGTCCTACCTTCCAAAGCCTGAAACTCCCAAATAATCTCCAGGATTAGTCCCCAAATTAAGGTGGGAATTTTGAACAAGGAAAGGGTCATAAAAAGCGGGCTGGAGGGTGGCACATGATGTTAGAAAACAAGTACTGAGAAACCTCAACTATCCTCAACAACAGTTTCAGTGGATTAATTTGATGAATTTCCAAAGCTAAAAATACCCTTTTTGGCACATGATGTTAGAAAACAAGTACTGAGAAACCTCAGCTATCCTCAACAACAGTTTCAGTGGATAATTTGATGAATTTCCAAGGCTAAAAATACCCTTTTCGTCCTCAGTGTTATTGGCTTGTCCCAAATGTTTACAATTTTATCACCTGACTTATTTTATCTACCCCCTTTTCATATAGAATTTAACACAGAAAAAGCTAAGCGCTGCACTGGGCACTGTGTGGTCTGTTCAACTCTCCCAGGCCTTTATCTGATGAGGTTGGGCCCCGCCCTCTCTACTTCCTAGGACTAGATTAGAACCAAGACAAGTATTTGTGAGCCTATCTCCCCTCCGTACTGCAGGCTTCATGAAGACAGCTGTTTCTCTTGCTCACACTGCAGGAGCAGGTACTCACAAGCGGGGCAGGAACACTGGGCTCACCTAATCCTAGTTCTGTCCTCTTTAACAAACGAAAAACCCCTATTCCGCTCACTCTCGCAGAGAAAAGGTAAGTCCCAGTCCACTAGAGCTCTCCCCATTCCACCACACTAACCTGCCTCACACCCACCAGCACGGGAATAAGACAACATCCTGTTTCTTCCAGGGCAGTAAGTATGCTGTGAAACAAGTGTGGTGATGAGTTACATTGGGTTGAAGGAGAATTTTCTGCCCCTTCTGCTCGAGTGTGCAGGTTGCATTCATTTGGAAGGGCAGTGGCAGGAGCAACTGCCATACAAATAAGTTGATGTAGCTGCTTTGAAGGGGCATTCTAACAACAAACTAGAGAAAAATGAGGCTCGTCTATTATTATTATTTGGGGTGGAGGGGAGGAGTGCCAGGACCAACAATCACCAGCTGCCTAAATAACAAAAGAATGTGCTTCTGAAATCTCTTGATGTCGATTATGCACGTGAACAATCAAGCTGCCCTACCCTACGTGTGCCACTCCAGACAGAAGCCCTTTTTTGAGGTTCATCTATTATTAAACATTTCAACTTCCCTTATACTTATGGGCAATAACCAGGTTCATTTACTGTAATAAACCACTTAGCCCCAGAAAAAGACTTTGACTAAGACCTTTAGGTGGGCTTAATAGACATCTACAGTTAGGCCATTTCACCATAATTTAACTCCATATCTAATATATGCATTGATTTGGAGAGTTATCCCTTTAATAGCTCATATTTCATAGATCCCACAATTAGGAAAAATAATTATAGTTTAAATGATTAAGAAAACCGCACACGCCCTGACTGGTTTGGCTCAGTGGATGGAGCGTCGGCCTGCGGAATGAAGGGTCCCAGGTTCGATTCCAGTCAAGGGCATGTACCGTGGTTGCGGGCACATCCCCAGTGGGGGGGTGTGCAGGAGGCAGCTGATCGACGTTTCTCTCTCATCGATGTTTCTGACTCTCTGTCCCTCTCCTTCCCTCTCTGTAAAAAATCAATAAAATATATTAAAAAAAAAAAAGAAAACCGCACACATCTGTAATTTTTCATTTAACTTGTACTAATCCAAACTAGGGGCAACTAATTTAAATGCACACACATGAATTTTCATCTTAACTTTCCTAAGTATTTTATTGGAAACTCAGCATGGATCTGAACTGGAACAGAGGCTTTGCAGCCGAGCAAGGGCAGGAAATGCTGGCGCTAGCTGCAAACCCCAATACTGCCTTGCAGTGAGACCATGAGCCCTCTCTGGGCAGGTTTCCTTGAAGACTGGCCCCACCCATGTCAACCAGTCTCCATACTGTAACTGATGCAGAGCAGGGCAATTTCATGAGGCAGCTAAATTAGTTTGTGGTAAAGGAAATTATTTTTGATGAAAATTCAATATAATTAACACCCAGCTGGCATGGCTCGGTGGTTGAGCATCAACCTATGAACCAGGAGGTCAAGGTTCGACTCCCAGTCAGAGCACATGCCTGGGTTGCAGGCTCAATTCTCCCCAGTGTGGGGCATGCAGGAGGCAGCACGATCAATGATTCTCTCTCATCATTGATGTTTCTCTCTCTCTCCCTCTCCCTTCCTCTTGGAAATCAATAAAAATACATGTATTTTAAAATATATGTAATACAATTAACAAGGAATTCAGTGGCACACATTTTAGAATTGTTACTTATAAAGTTGTATCTGATATATCACATTTAGGAATTTCATACAAATATACCCTTAAAAATTACGATCACTTCTTGTTTGACAATGCTTCCTATATAAATGAACATATCAAATAAGCCTAATTAGTTTACTATTTTTTTCATAATGAGAGAGAACATATATTTTGAGATTTTTTCCAAGGGCACTCTGGAAAATCCCAATGTTAGTCCAAAATCAAGAAGACTTTAGCTGTCAGTCTTATGGGGAGCTCCCTTGTAGGCAACTAACTGCTTTTCTCTTGCTATTAAGATTATCTGTCTTTAACGTTTGTCATTTTAATTATTAAGTGTCTTGGTGTGGGCCTCTTGGGGTTAATCTTGTTTGGGACTCTCCTCCAGAGTCATCCACATTTCCTCAACCATTAGTGAGCTTTGACTTCTTGGAGATTCTAGAAAGATTTATATAGCTCTTATGATTCTAATGGTCTACTTCTGTAGTTGACATTAATTTCCACAGTAGACTTGAAGCTTTGTACAAAGTTGGAGCTTTTATTTATTTACTAGAGGCCTGGTGCATGACCCGCGGGTCCCTCGGCATGGCCTGCAGGGATCGGCTGAAACTGCAAGGGGTCCCAGATTGCAAGGGCACAGGCCAGGCGAGGGACCCCACCAATACATGATCGGAGCTGGGGAGGGACCATGTGAGGGCTCCAGGGCGTGTCCGGCCCGTCTCGCCCAGTCCTGATGGGCCAGACCCCAGCAGCAAGCTAACCTATGGGTCGGAGCATCTGCCCCCTGGTTGTCAGTGCGCATCATAGCGACTGGTTGAACTAACGGTCAGACACTTAGCATATTAGGCTTTTATTATACTAGAGGCCCGGTGCATGAAATTCATGCACTAGGGGTGGGGGGTGGGGGGAGAGGAGTTTCCCCTCAGCCCGGCCTGCGCCCTCTCGCAGTATGGGAGCCCTCGGGAGAGGGTCCCACCACCGCCGCTGCACTGGCCAGCCATGAGCCTGCCAGCTGTGAGCCCTGCTCAGGGCTTTTGGCTGAGTGGCGCTCCCCCTGTGGGAGCACACTGACCACCAGGGGGCAGCTCCTGCATTGAGTGCTGCCCCGTGGTGGTCAGTGCATGTCATAGCAACCGGTCGTTCCGCAATTTGGTCAATTTGCATATTAGCCTTTTATTATATAGGAGGACTAGGGGCCCAATGCACGAATTCGTGCACCTTGAAAGGAACTGTGGGCCACAAGGCTGAGGTGGGCACAGGGCGGGTCTCAGCCCATCCTCTGCACCCCTACCTGGCCCCGTATTGCCGTGGTCCCTGGGCCCGTCAGTCAGCAGCCCTGCTCCTGCCACCACCACTCCCATGTGCTGACAGCGCCAGCCCAACTCGCACCCGCTGACAGCACGGAGCGATTGAGGCCGGCACAAGCAGTGGGTGCAAGCAGCGGATGCTGCCCTGATTGTCCCCAGGAGCAGGAAGAGTTGGAGAAGCCCTCAAGGGCGATTGGGGCCAGCAGCCACTGCTCCCACCCGCTGATGGCGCTGAGCAATCAAGCAATCGGAACCAGCACTGGGTGCCGACAGAGGGTGCAAGTGGCGGCTCTGGTGCCGGCAGTGGGTGTGAGTGACAGCTCCAGAGCTGCAGCAGGTGCGAGCGGCGCTGTCATTGGTAGCGGGTGCGAGAGGTGGCTGCTGGCCCCGATCGCCCCTCAGGAGCAGGGGAGGTGGAGAAGCCCTGAGGGGCAATCAGGGCCGGTGCTGGGCACCGGCAGCAGGAGTGAGCGGGGCCAGCAGCAGGTGCGAGCACTGGGCAGGACTACGGCATGTGGGAGCAAAGAATTTTCAGTAACCACCAGAGGCTCACCCCAATGACAGTGACCGGTGCCCCCACTCACTTGCTCCACTATCCCACCACGGCCGATGCCTGCCATGTTCCGCACGTGTCCCATAGTCGTCGGCACACATCATAGCGAACAGTTGTTGGTCCGCTGTTCAGTCTATTTGCACATTAGGCTTTTATTATATAGGACACGATCTACTTATTTATTTATTTTTAATACATTTTTGTTGATTTCAGAGAGGGAGAGGGAGAAATAGAAACATTAATGATGAGAGGCATGCCCCCTACTGGGGATTGAGCCTGCTACCTGGGCATGTGCCCTGACTGGGACTGGAACAGTGACATCCTGGTTCATTGGCCCTCGCTCAACCACTGAGCCATGCTGTTAATCTTCACCTGAGCATATTTTTTCCATTGATTTTTAGAGAGAGTAAAAGGGAGGGAAGAAACAAGGGAGGGAGAGGGAAAAGGAGGCAGAGAGAGAGAGAGAGAGAGAGAGAGAGAGAGAGAGAGGGAGAAATGTGAATGTGAGAGTGACACACTGATTGGCTGCCTCTCACCCATGCTGTGATGGGGCTGGGAATCAACCTGCAAAGCAGGTATGTGCCTGGAAATTGAATCTAAAACCCTTTTGTGCATGGGCTGATGCTCTAACCACTGTACAACCAGCCAGGGCCAAAGTTGGAGCTTTTGAGACAGGTGAGAGGGTCAAGCACTACCCCACAGAACTCCTCTGTCAGTGCTTTCCACCTCATAACTCTATGTGCAAAGCATTGAGCCGTAGACAGACATAGCCATGGCCTGTGGAAGCGGGAAGGGTAAAAACACTGGTGGTGTAAGAGAAATACCAGATTAAGTGATGTTAAATCATCTGTCCTGGGGGCGGGGGGGAGGACTCTAGAAGTTCAGAGGGAATGCTCATTGGTCCAATTCATTCTGCTCAAACAGAGCATAATAAAAGTGAGATTATCTCTACATTTAAAGCTTCATGTCTCTGAAATTGCAACTTAACCTTATCTTTTAAATTGATTTTCACTTTTAGCAGCAAGTGCAAGCAGGCTAGAGCTCATTCAGGACAGTGCATGTCAAGCCAAAAGATACTCCACAGCTAAAGAGAGGAAGACAAGAACATCTCTCACCACAGAAAACTGGAGGCCAGTCTAACAGGTCACCTGCTCCAGGGCAAGTTAAAACAAAAAATACTATTCATGAGCAGGTGCTAGGATAGCATTTAGGAGCACCTCACACCTACCACCTTCCTGACAATTTGAAAAACCCTTTCAGCTTTCTCCACGCTTGCCTGTGTAGTCTACAGATCTGTGACCAGAAGCTAGACTACCTAATTGGGTACTTTCCCTTTTTCTTTTCTCTAAGGGGAAGTATCAACAACTTGCAAAGACATTTTCCCATCATTTAAGCCACAAAAATTCTCCCACAACTGGTTTTCATATGTGAAATATTTCTGCAGAAGTTACAAGCTAGAAAGGACGTATTTCAACAGACTTGACTTTGCCAAACTGTGTGGGTGCAGCATTCCAAGGGGAATTACTCAGTTTTTAAATCTCAGATTCAAAATGATCTAATTTTTCACTACTTTACAATAATATTCTCAAAATTCACGTCCCATGCCACTTAGAAATAAATAGGAATTAAGACTGATCAAGTCACTTAATCAAAATGCAAATATTTCCCTAATATGGTCCCATAAGGACACCAACTTGTCTTAACAAGTTGGATCTAAGATTAATGTATTACAGTTCATATAATCAGGGGCTTCAACTGCAAGAACACTACCCAAAAGACAAGAGTAAACATGGAGAACATACACGTTCAGGACATTCACGTGGGCCAAACGCGCACAGCAAAGACACACCGTCCCAAGTTTTCAGTTTCTCATGGCTTTCTTTAAAAATCAGCGCACCTTTATTTCTATTGCTTGAAACCAGGCCCAAAGAGCAAACGGGCAAAACCACTTCGCTGCAATGCAGCTAGCTGTTCAGGAAGGTTCAACTTGCCCCGCTAACTCGTGCCAGGAAAAACCTAGGCTCTGCGGCAGGTAGAATGAAGAACAGGGCGGGAAAATGGTGTTATTTTTAAAGAAGAGACCGATGCAAAGCCTGGTGGGCATAAGGCGGAGCATCTGTGGATCTGAGAAATGGGTGAAGACCGGGGTCAGGGGAAGCCATGATTGGCTGGAGAGCGAAGAAAGGGAAGCTCAGAAGGAAACTGCAGAAAACCAAAAGGAGCCGAGCGGCACAGCGAGCGGCCGGGACCCTGGTTCTAAGCTCTATCGGGAAGCGGGCACCAACGGCTCCGCCCCAGGTTTCCGCGGGTCAGAAGAGGATAACGGACACCCTCCCAACGGCGGACCTGGGGGCTCCGCGCGCCACGTCCACC